CGTCTCCGCCGGGCAGATGTGGGCGCTGGGAGCTTCCTAAAAAGTTTTCCTGGTCCTTTGGCTTCTCCCTTTGGCGATGGGAGGTCGGTGCTTTGCTTCAGGGCATGGCTCAAAGAGGTCTCGGGGGGCGATGGGCAGAGCTGCCGGTACCCGGTGTGTCTCCGGTAGCCAGCGCCTGGCGGTTCAGATGTATCCGGAGATGGAGCTGGATACAAACCCGGGGCTGAAAGAGCTTCTTTTCTCCGCGGAAATAGCTTGTATTTTGAATTTTGCTCAGAACGGCACGGCACCCTTCTCGCCAGATTGGAATTGGAGCTTTAGCGACACTGATTCCCCTGGAGGGGGTGAACACAGAGCGGGATGAATGGGGTTTGCAGAGGCGACTTTTCCAGTTAGAAAGGAAATCTGGGGCCAGTTGCAAAATCAATGAAAGCTTTACATTTCGATCTTATTTTTAGAGAAAGCAGAGATTAGGGCAATCCATAGTGAAAGGACAGCTTTCCAGGGGTAGGAGAGTGCTGTGTTTCCTCAGCTCCCATTGATTTCCAATAGGAATTAACTGGCTTTTATGCCTTCAAACATTTCTGTCTAAACCAGAGTGCTAAAACGACTGCTATGTGTTTATTTGCTTGTTTTAATCCTTCCTCAAAGTGCTTTTGTGCAAACTGTCATCTAATTCTCTGTGGCACGCTACAAAGTGGTGAAACTCTGGTTGGCTCGTAGGGGCAGGATTGAGCCCTACAAAAACATTTTATTGAATACTCAGCTGTGATTTGCTGCAAAGTTCACACACAAACACACGTGTAACTCTGCTTTCGTACCCCAAACTGCTCATGAATCTACGTGTCTCTTTCCAAAGCTCTCCAAATGCTTAAAGTTGTATTCAATAAAGTAGCTGGTGCAAACGCAGTTTCGATGCCGGTGAGGGAGAAGGATCTAAATTGGATTATTGTCAGGTGGGGACTTGCTCTGTCAGATCCAGCTACAACACCGCAGAGTTGAGATCCAGGCGCTGAGATGGAGATTTTATTTTAATTTTTTATTTTTTCACTGGAGGTTGGGGCTGCGTCCCGTGCCAGCGCCCTCGGCAGCCCCGCATTCCTGGCGGCAGCTGGGACCGGCAGCTGGGAATGCGGGCGGATGCTTTACCGGGGCCAAATCCTGCCTGCATGGACAGCGAGGGGATTGACTGCCACAGGCTCCCAGTGAGATCCGGGCTTGGCATAAATAGATCCTCTCTGAGAATTAGGTTGCACGCAACTTTTGCAGTCCCGGCTCCTTTTTGTTTGGAAGCTGTTCTCCGCGCTGTTTTGGTTTTTTGGCCAGGACAGAGGGCCAAAAGGGAACGGAATAGATATTTTGTTGTCTGGCCGTGTTACCTGATTTGTTTTGGGTGATCACACGAGATGGTAGAGATAAACAGAACGATGGATTCTTCTAAACAAAGAAATACTTAATCTGATTAGTGAACAATTAATTTCAACTTCTCTTTTTTCCTTCCAGTAGATGAATATTTAATTGCACAGCACTAAGCATTAGTGGGTCCCCGAGACGCTTGTTCTCTTAACCATGTAGGATACTCACATGTATCCATGGGAACTTGCTCCTATTAAACTCTTAAAAAATAGTTTGCTGCCTGAAGTCGTTCTGCAGCCGAGCGAAGCCTGTTCTCTGAGCAAGAGGCACTTCTCCCCTCTGATGCTCTGCCCTCACAAAGCACCCAGTCTCTTCTGCAGACCCACAAGAGCCAACACAGCACTCGGGTGCCTGGTGCAATCGGGTCTGGAGCGTATGACAACCCTGATCCATCAGAATTAGAAAGGGGACCACACAGGAGTCTGGAATACTGATGTTTTCCATTTGCCTGTGTACAGAAGATACACGTTTTTCAGCAGTGTGGGTGACAAGCCACCAGAAGAAGTGGTGAATTTTCCATTTCTCCAGATGTCTAAGTAAAGACGGCAAGTGCCTTTCTGGAAGATGTGATTTAATCAAATAAAAATATGGAGCTCAGTGCAGAATTACTGTCAGAATAAGTCCTCAGGGACATACTGCACACAAAGCCAAGTCATCAAGGATCAAATTGGCTTTCATGAACCTCAAAATCTGTTAATCCCCATGTGGTTTTTCTTGTAATATCTAAAAAGTATTGATATGAAAATGATTAATAACGTACTTCATGTGCAAAATTTTCCCTCTGGAGGCATTTGTGCTAATGCACAAGAACATACCCAGCCATCTCAAAATATAGCTCCATTTTGCATTTTATTGTCTGTTTTGAATAGGAATTTTTTTCAGGTGCTCGGCGCCTAATTTTAGAATTTCCTCACAAAATTGCCTCCTCATTAAGGAGTAGATAATAGCAGCCCGGATGATGAGGGCTGTTTGAGTAGCCCATGTCCAATGTCTTTTTTATAAACCCCTTGGTTTACTGGGTGAAGAGCCGGTACTGCTTTGTTTGGTTATGAAGGTCAGAGGATATATGGTGGGCAGCTGAAAGCTGGAGTCTTGGCGAATTGAAAGGCAGCTCTCATTGCTCCATTCAGCTGTGACAGGCTTCAAAACTAAGTGCTGCCTGGGCAGAAGGGAGGCAGTGAGTGTTTGGAAGCAGAGGCTCCCCGTTAGGGACTGTCCCTGTAAGCTCTTGTCCTCCTGAAGCACCTTCTGGGTGGAATTTTATTGTTGAGAGTGAATTTTGCAGTTCAGGGGAGGGAACATGTGAAATGCCACCTTTGCCCCCTTCTTGCCACCCGAGAGCTCTGAGTGCACCAATGCTGTGATGCACAGACCCAGCCTGGGGATGGGATTGCTTTCAGTTGGGCTAATTCTGGCCAGGCGAGCACTGCTGTTTCTTCTGATGTTCTTGTGCCCTGTCACCACACGGCCACTGCCCTTCCCATCGGATTCCTACTCAGCAGGAAGTGAAAAGACTTAACCGATCGCTTGGCAAAGCGTCAGGAAAGTATGTAGCTTTGGCCAAGTTCACGCATCCACGTGAGAAAGGCAGAGATGGAGACGGCTCCGGAGAAGCCCAAGGGTGAGGTTTGTTAGATCCCAAACACGTGCTGTCAGATGAGATCCATACATTCATTTCTTAATCCTGAATTTAGAGGCTCAAAGTTATCATCTGTTAGTTTAGAGCCTGTAAATGGAATGTAATGTTGTAGTGGAAGTGGATGACAAAGAGGTATCGAAAGCAACTGCAGCATAATATCCCACGGGATACGCAGAGACGGATTTGGCTGCATTGCTTAACTCAATAGTGTACGCTGTGCAGAACCTTTTCTCAAGTTACCAACACACTAATATATAATCTCTGCAGCTTGGCAATTGAATCTCGTTGGAACAATGTCTACGCTCTGCAATAATACACATAGGTCTTCATCCGTCTTTGAAATTGTCTCTGAATCAGAATCCTCTGTCAGGTGCAAAGGATCATTTAAAATCACGGGCTGCTCACGGCGTCACCCACTGCTCTCAGTGGAGTCACTCCTGATCTGCAAAGCTATAAGCAAAAGCAAATTTGATCCACTGCTTCTGAAAGCTTGTCGTTAATACTTATGTTTACATCTGTCTTACACAGTTGAACATGCCGTTAAATTTAAATTTACAGGTATAATTTAATTTAAAGTTAGATCCTTCTCTCTCCACTCAGATGTTTAAGAGGCAAACGTCTTAGTGCTGGAGGAGTCACTGGAGAGACCCTGAACCCTTTCCAAGAAGACTGCGGAACAGATTTCAGGCAGTGTTATTTCAGGAAGGTAATTGAGTGGGTTTTTAAAAGCCCTCCCAGATATAAAGAGCATAGGAGGGACTTGCTCTCATACCCCTTCACCACAATGCCCCTGAGCAAGTGCATTGCACTCTCCTCCCTGCTGCCTCCTGTGCAGAGTCAAGTCACCAGCAGCGTTCAGGCTGGATATTAGGAAAAATTTTTTCACCGAAAGGGTTATCAGACCTTGGAATGGGCTGCCCAGGGAGGTGGTTGAGGCACCATCCCTGGAGGTGTTCAAAAGACAGGTTGATGTGGTGCTGGGAGATATGGTTTAGTGATGGTGATGCTCCTTGTTTGTTGTGTGGGTGTCTATTTTTGTCAATTAGGTTGATGGTTGGACAAGATGATCTTTAAGGTCCCTTCCAACCTAGAAGATTCTGTGATTCTGTAAGGTCTGAGGTGCCGTATGGATTTGCCCCCGTGGAGAATCTGGCTGGTGGGGCTGGCTGCCCTTGGAGACGCACTGCAGGCTTCCTGTGGGAAGGCACAGTCGGGGTGGCCGAGTCCAAGTTCATATCACTGCAAGCAACCACCTAATAGATTTGAGTCCAGAAAATCTGCTCCTCACCTCTCGTCCAGCCAAAGCCACCAAAGCTTCTTCCGAGTGCTGCAAGAAGCCTCAGATCATCAGTACTGAAGAGTATAGCTGGCAGAGACTACAGTGGGCCACGAGAAAAGACAGGAGATTAAAGGCTTTGTCCTTGGTTTATGCAGCAGAGGAGGAGTATAAATTGTGTGCTGTTATAGGGACTTTGAGCAGTAAGGGCTCTGGCAGGATTTTTAGGATCTTCTTCTTGTGTTAGAGCATTTGAGAAGAGATCATTCTACAACGGAAAAAATACATGTTAATAACCCCAAGTCATTTCCTGTGTAAACTCAAACCACTGTTACCCTTAGATTTGAACTCTTTCTCCCCCACCTGAAGGACAAGCTTGTACCCTGAAAAAAAATAGTAATAAAAATCATCCTTCTTCATCGTGCATGCGAGCACAAAGGAGACAGTACTGGCTCCCGGAGGGGGGTTTTGTTATTATACAACACAGCATCTGCCCAGCCCCGTGCACTGCGGTGACGGTGCCAAACAGCTGGCAGAGATGTGACCCGAGGAGCGTGGGGCATTGCCAGGGCCAGCAGCAGGTTTGATTTGGCAACCTGAGATCCCTTTTATGTAGCTGAAGAAGCTCTGGAAGTCGCCTGCTCGGTGCGGTGTTGCTTTTTTTGGTGCTTGGTTTGTTTTTGTTCGAGGTAGGAAGGATTGGAGTCACATTAAGAACGCCATTCTACTGATGGAAAAGTTATAGCTTTTATATCTGCGAATTTCTCCCCCAAAGGAGGATTATCTCTTTCTACAGTCTAAACTCCGCTCGAAGGAGTATGCAAAACCTCTGGTGTGCTTTTCTCACTGCCACTCAGCCTCTTGTTAATAACGGGCTTCTGGAAGCTCTCTTAATAAAGGACTGGGAGCTCTCTTTTATTTCCTGGCTTCTGCATTTCCCCATCCACCTGGGGAACTGACCCGCAGGTGAACAGTCTGTGTATGGCGAGAGGAGCCGGTGGCTGCTGCAGGGACGGTGCATCCCGTGAGGCTGAGAGGGAAACCCCCACTCGCTTTTGGGGGAGTGGTTAATAGGAAACGGGATGGGTTTTTTCATCTTGGTTTTATCAGAATTACGTAAAAACTCTTGGCAGATGAGAGGAAAGGGTGGAAGCCCAAGGAATCTCCTTTTGCCAGAGAAACAATTCCCAGTCAAGCCTCGTGCTCGGCGTCTGGGTCGGAGCTCACCTCAGTCAGTGAGAGCTTTTCCCTGGATTTCAGGGGGCTTTGGAGGAAGCTGGTGATTAAACACCAAACAAGAACTCGTATCCCCTCCCCTGAACAGATGTTCAGACCAGAGCTGGGTCCAGCTTTGGGGATGTTTGAACTGAGCGGTGATTCTGCTTGGAGGTTGGCAGCGCAGAATCCTTTTCAGGATGGATTATTTAAAGCTCTTCCAGCAGTGACCACGCTCGGAGCATCTCACAGCAGCACTGAGAGCTCTCAGGTAGTGCCTTGACTCCTGGCACAGCTCTCGGGGTGAGGACGATAGCTCTGTGTGTGACTCAAACCCGCTCGCCTCCGCTTACTCATTTCTCTCCTCCTTACCTACCTCCTCCTATAGATTTCTTCCTGGCAGGCTGCTCGGAGGGATGCTCTGTGCAGGGCAGGGTGTTGTGCAGGAAAGGAGACCACGAGCAGCCTGGCAGCACCAGGCAGGGACTCTTCCTGCTGCCAGTTTTATCCACGAGCTGACTTTCGCCTGCAGATTTTAGTGCCTTTGGGGAAGCTGAGAACTATTTGTTATTTTTTAATTCTAATGTTTCTCTGGCTTAATTATTTGAGGGTACGTGTCAGAGTCTATCACTGTCAGATGTTGCTGCTGAAAGGGGATTTCAGCCAGTGAAAACTCCAGCTGGGTACTTACATGGATTTCAGCCAGTGAAAACTCCAGCTGGGTGGGTACTTACACAGGCTTTAGTGAGAGCAATGAAGTCCTCTTTGTTCCAATTTTTCCATTGCCTTTGGGTCAGACTTTGTCTCTCTTTAGATCTGTGTTAGACTTGATTTTGAAAGGCCTTGACCAAACAGAACAGAGGATTTACTCTGTGTGCTCTACCTTCAGTCCTGAAATTATCTTCAAAACAGCATCGTCCCAGTCGTTTTCCCACCCTGCCTTGACCAAACAGAACAGAGGATTTACTCCCTGTGCTCTACCTCCAGTCCTGAAATTATCTTCAAAACAGCATTGTCCCAGTCGTTTTCCCACCCGGTGCTGCTGCAATGCCATGGTGCCCGAGCTCCCGTGGGAGCCAGCCGGGCACCCAGGCAGAGGGACCATGGCTGGAGAAGCTGGAGGTACCATGGCCGTGTGCCACCAGCTGCTGCCACCTCCTTGGTCATGCCGAGCCGGAGAGGTTGGGTCCCCAGGGACTCTCTCCTGTGTGTCACCGTGCCGGCTGGTGGATGGTGAGGATAAGCAGAAGCACCGGAGAGGAACAAGTGATAAAGGAACCACGGGGATCTGTTTGTTTGTTTATCCAAAGGGTTTGGGTTTAGACTCATTTTTTAATTTCACTTCAACTTGTAAACAATCAGAAAATCAGTGTTCAGAAACTCAAAGACTTAAGAACTAACCACTAGGACCGTAGCTTTTTTTCCTGGCAGGCAGCAGATAGCCAGGTACATTTACAATTCTTTACTAATCAGCCTGGAACTAGACCAGCATATTTATGTAAAAACACTAATACTTTTATTACTGAAGACAGCCCAGAGCTCAGGCCCCTACAGTTTGTCTAGAAAATGGAATATTTAATTTTCCCCCAGTAATAGTATGTTTTTCTTGTCTCCTGGCAGTTTGCACAAAAGCTCTGAAGTACGTGACATATGGCAAAGAGAACATCAAAATCTGCTGTGCCGTGTGATCCGCTCACATCGCATGGGGCATGTTCCTGGCTCCTCAAAGCTTCACAGCCTTAAAACTATTTCTTGCTTCCTGATGGGGATTCGTGCCTTTGCTTTAACTGTCTGCAATAATTCATACGCATTTGCTCTCAAAACATGCAATGTTAATGCTTCTTTTAAATATAACATGTATCTAGGATTGGTAAAGGGGGGGCTGGCAGTCCTGGGCACTGCGATTGTCTGGGCATCTCCAGAAGAGACACTTTGCTGATAGTTTCCCGGGTGGTTTGATGTGAAGAACATATCTCCAAGGCTGAGTCGGCATTTGCAGAGCCAATGCCGATGTGCAGCCAGGCCAAAATAGGGTGAAACCTCCATTTTCCCATTTGGGTGACTGGTAGGGCACCAGTGTGGGACCCATAAAGAGCTCTCCTACCTTCTGTCGTCCTTCCCTCAGTAAATTTGCTACTGCTTATGGTGGTCAGGCATTTATTTGGTAATGATTGTGAGGACGACTGGGGGTGATGATAGAGAGATGTGTGGCTGCATTAGACAAGCACAATCAAATGGTTCATTTGAGCGATGACTAAGGGAAGCCACTTCAGTAACTTCTACAAGATAAGGAGCGAGACATGACAAAAAGAAAGACCACACGATACAAGCGCAATTGTTTATAAACAAAAGGCTTTATTGTTCACCATGAGCGATCAGCAAATCTTCGCCTAAAAACTGCTTCCATTAAAATTCAACATTTCAAAAAGAGGGGATTTAACTTCAGTAGGCTTTTCCTGCACTGGGCTCACCAGGAGAAATGAAAGATAAACATCTCCCAGGCTGAGTCCGGGGAGGGCAGGCCTGGCCAGCGCAGCTGAATAGCTTCGGGCTTTTTGTTCCTGTTGGTGGGAAGTGGAGAGATCCGGATAAAGGGCTGCGGGAGCGTTGCTGGAGGAGAGGAAGCTCTGCGTGGGGAGTCACCGAACTGGGAGAAAATGCCACATCTTGGGGTTGGTTTTGTCAGACTGACAAGTGCAGCCTTTTCGTCCCCGTTAGCTGCAGCTGTAGGATGCTCTGGGTTGCACCGAGGCCAGTGGCTCCGCTCCCCTCTTCCTCTCACCGACCTGCAAGCCCCCACCTGACAGCAGGGAGGTGGAAAAGAGGTTGTATGTTTTTGGCCTAAGGTACAGAAATCTGTTTTTGTGGGCTTCTGATTAGAGACACAGAGAGCGTATTCATCTTCCTGTGAGATGTACCTGGACTTGGAAGCAGGAGCGTTGTTTAGTCCTGTAAAGTGTTGCAGGAGGGTTCCTGTACCCTGAGCTAAAGGTAGAAGGTAGAAATATCTCTAAATTGGCAAAACCAGGGACAGAAACGTGTCTATGTGAGGTGTAGGACTTTGGAAAGAAAGGATGGGAGGTGGTGTTGGAGTAAAGAATTGGACCTGACAGTTTTTCTTCACAGCTACCTATTAGGGGGTGGATTTTTTTTCCAAGTGTGGAAAAGGGGCTGGGATTTCTCTGCCTTCCTCAGGGCTCAGAGGGAGGATGTGCAGTTTTACCTGTCAGCATCAGTGGAGATTCAGCTGCTGAAAAAGAGCCTTATATTGTACCCCATATAGCTTGGATGAAGGATAGGTAGAAGATAGGTTTTCTCTGTTAGGGAAAATAATAAACTTTTCTTTTTCAGGGTCCACATTAGTGAGCTGTGGGCTGGAGCATCTTCCCTAAGTGGGAGAAATAGCAGAAGACATGTTGTTCTTCACTTCCCAAAGAGCTCTCTGTTCCCTGGTACCGTGTCCTAACCTGGTCAGAAACATCTCCCTGTTGGTAGCATGGAGTTGAAAGACACTGGGGGAGTATCTGACAGAATCACTGGGGTTCAGGGTGAGTATTAGAGACTTCTCTTACATATTGTTAAAATGACGAATGCAAGCACTAAGTGTTATTACTTGATTCACCTGGTCTTTATGCTGCCAGCGGCCCCGGGGTTGTTCTCTGTGCTACCACTTTGAATTAACACACCGCCAAAGGGAAGGAGACTGTATGAACATTTGTCTCCCGGAGAAGTGCTGAGATGTTGGCTCATGTTTGGCAGTTGTCCTGGCACATTGTTTGAAGGGACCACCTCTGCTGAGTCCTTGAGGTGTCACAGCACTGCTACTTGGCTGAGGTTCAAACACGCATCTCCAGAACCTCACATATCGATTGGGCATCTGAAAGAAGCAGCTGCCTTACAAAAAGTGTAACAAAGGCATATCTTAATGAAGGGAAGAGCCTCTTCAACCCCCAAGATGGTCCTCAGACAGGCAATTTTGTTATGTCTAGAAAGGGTGCCATTATAAAGCTCTTTCCAAGCTGCCTAATGTGTTTTTAAAATACTATAGTTTATATTTTTTTAAGGACTTAGAGATGTAGGATCATGCATTTGATTGAAAATCACTGGGATTTAGGCACTTGAAACACTTTAGAGAGTCCAAGCTGTAAAACAAATGTGGAGTGCAAGCCTCCAGTGTCCCAGCACAGCACCCAGCTCCTTGTTTA